TCCAATTTACAGACAACTTACATAACACCAATGTTATTGCTTACTGCAGCGAATAATCAATGAAAATGTTACCATAAAACCTCAATATAAGAAAAGAGGGAAATGCTAACAGAAAACACAGTGGTGAGTATATCTAGTCATTAATCTTATCAGGGCAAATGAAGATTGACTACACGGCTCGGCGGTGTTCATCGGCCCGGTTTCCCCGCCGTATGTAGGCTGCTGTCTACTAGCGCAGGTTCCGAGTACTCGTTTGGACAAGTTCGGACAATTTGCCAAGATATTAACTTCGGACGGTGACACGTGCCATCATACCGTCGTGACGTCGTCCCAACAGTTGCATGAGTCACCCCGAACAGGCGTGTTTAAGCTGTTGGTCCCAATTCGCCAACGAGCCATCGTCTTTCTATACTTGTATTAGAATTAAGTTGGCCTCTGCAGAGCTTTTCTGTTGTAAACCCGCCAAACTGTCCTGATCGCTTACTTTAGAGAAGTGAAGCGGTCGTGGCTGACGTTTGCTGCTACTTGTTGTCGCCTATCGACATCTTCCTGTCACATGAACTGTTGAAGATACCCGAGTGTGCTCGGTCCAGCGTTTTAAAATGCAAAGGGTTGTGGTGCCTGGATTGAGCGGTTGAGCAGTCCCGTTGGTCCGAGAACCACCTAAAGGCTTGGCAAATGTGAAGTTATCTTACCGCGCTTTGCGCGCATCCTTGTATCTCTTCCGCGTGGTGAATCAGCTGGTCATTTTTTCCCCAGCTCTTGTTATACTGGACTTAGCAGCTGAGGAGATACGGTTATATTTGCACCAATCCCTGCTGTGTATGCCCTGTACGAAATTTACTGGCCTGTCGTTTTGGATTCTCGTTCGAACCCATTATCAGCGACAGTAGCAGATAAGGTTGATGAGGGTGCCGGAGGTGCAGTATTATCAGGACGCAATTGCCATGCCGCCACGAACCTAATCCAGTTGGTAGATTTCGCTTTCATGACTGGTGGTTTTCCAGGATACGATTATTGCCCGTTAGTCCGCGTCTGAGTCAACATCCCATGGAGGACCGTGATTAAATTTTGACACGTATTAACGAACAGTCACTGCGGCCGGGACGACCATTAACGATGAACACATGCACAGAGGCGCATGGGTACCGCATC